TCACCTATATACAACTTTTTACCAAAACATGTATAGGCTTTCGCCTACTCCGTCTTGCTCGCGCGCGCCGGGTGGGGGTGTCCGCATCTGTCGTGTGGATCTACCTTTCATTTGGATGGGGGTGTGGGTGGGGGAGGCGTATTCGGTGGATTTGTGGATTGAGGTGTGGCAGTTGAGGATGGTGTTGTTGGCGTGGGGGGAGGAGGTGAGGAAGATGGAGGGGGAGGTTGGGGCTGTGGGAGTGGTAGGGGCAGTGGCGAGTTGTGGGGGGACGGAGACGGGGGCGAGGATAAGGAAACGGTTGGGGGAGATCAGGGCCGAGTATGAGGGGTTTGTGAGGGAGTGTTCGATGGTGATTGAGGGGATGGCGTTGTCAGCGCAGTTGGTGAGTGCTGGCTGACTGTTTGGGGGAGGCGGGTGATGAGTGACATATGCTAACGGACTTTACAGTCGTGGAGCCAGATTGGGTACCAGGACACGCAGGCCAACCTCAAAATTGCGAGCGATACGCGCGAGGACTCGAACCAGATGCGGTCGATTGCTTTTCTCACCATGGTGTTTCTTCCGGCCACCTTTCTTGCTGTAAGTCATCCCATACTACATATTTTCGGAAGCTAACCTCCCCGAAACAGGCCGTCTTCTCCATGACCTTCTTCAACTGGAAACCCGAAGAGGGGGAGCGGTTCGTGTCACCATATATCGGGATCTATATTGGGCTGGCCGTTGTCGTTACGGCTGTTGTGCTCTCATGCTGGATCTGGTTTACCAGGCGCAATCGTGTCTCATACTCGGACGACGATGAGAAGCCACTATTGGAAGATTATCCAACGGGGATGGTGTGACGGAGGGCTCGAGGGATATGGAATATGCCGCAGGGTACAACAGCTGCAGAATGCAGAGCCATCTATGCCAACAGAACATCGTTTCTTTTTTATTGTCCATCTTCTTTCTCAGCTTCTCGCCGCTGCAGAACACATCACACCGCTGATTTACGTGCTTACCCGGTTCTTCTGACCGCAGATCGCGCATCGCAGCCACCCGTGTCCCCCTTGGACCAGAGCCTGGGAGGTGGGACCCTGACTGCGATCGTTCATGGAAGTACACCAAGTACTGTACACGCCGCGATGCGCCGTATGCACTGTGTAAGCTAGCCTGCATAGGAAAAAGCACAGGGGTTTAAAATCAATGTCGTCTTCACATGTTACCGACAACTACGAATACCACCCTGAATCTCTCGGCTCGGCGAGGGAAGACATGGGGCTCAATGAGTGTAGAAAAGGAACAACGAGTCAAGGACTGGAGATGGAGAAATCGGGAATTTCAGATGAGCTGACGGGAACTGCATCCGGCAGAAATTGGAGACCGAGTCGAAGAAGAAAAACGCTTGGATGGCGTCAGCATGTCAGCACGCCCATCTCCGGCGCTGCATTCTGCAGTGGGATGTCGATCCCGAGACATCCTAAAAAAGTCTTCAAGGCGAGGCTATTTTTTGTTGCATTCATCACCGCCAAATGCAGAATTATCTTTCCTTTCCTTCCGTGCCTCGTCCCACGAGTTTATTTCCGTTCCTGGATGCCCCTCACGGGAAAAAAAGAGACAAATTAAAGAAAACAAGAAAGAAGCTTCCCCAGACCCAGTGAGGATGAAAATTCGCCAGGGGGCCCCCCTTCGCACAGGGGCCCCCCTGTCAATTCAGGCCTAGCGCCGGGTGTTTAAATGCAAGAATGCAAAAAGTGCCACTGAGCGCCAGAAGTTAGGTAGCGCATCCTCGGCTTTCCCACCGCACTGCAAAAACCCACCCCACCGCCAATTCCTCCACCTCCACAACAATCCACACAACCCGGAACCAGGTAGGTAGCGCGGGGTCTTGGGCCGCCTGGGGAAAGCAAGGAAGGATGGGGACATGAACGACTAGAATGCGGGCGGAAGCCTGGATTGTGACATTTCGAGGGGTTCAGGTCGGTTTCGGGATCTGTTTTGGATCGGGACAAAAAACAGGGCAAGAACCTGGCAGGGCTGGAATCCGGGGAATGGCATGTGCGTGCGCCAAGGGACGGAAGGGCTTTCGCATGTTTTGCTTCCATGGTTTTTTCGCCTTGCTTGCGGCAGTTGGATCGATGTTCCTTCCCGAGTCTAACCAAGATTCGGATGCGGTTTTGCTGGCGCGATGCGTGCATGGCATGTGCCTGTGTGGGCGGTGCTGTGGCTCTGGCTGCTGCTCGTCCATGCAGTGGCGAACTCGGCGAGCAGTCTCAGCCTGCTGAAACGGCTTGGTAGGGGGGCACTTGAGCTGCAATACACGCCGTTTCAATAGCGCCAAACCGTTAAGCCACTTGGAACGTTCTAGGAGGACGACGGTGTGGACGATTTGCACTTCGGCGAAACACAGACTAAGGGTTCGAAATTCGCGCTAAGCAAGCCAACACGGCAACCGTTTGATGCAAACTTGAGCCACGAAGGCTTTGACTTCATTTAGCATTATGTAGTCTGATAGCGCCCAAGATCCAATTCCACGCATGCCTCTCCAAATCCGCATCTTACATCCAGTCCCCCTTTTGTATCTAAGGTATCTTACCCGCCAAAACTAGATGCCTCCGGCGCATCTCAAGAACGGTAACAAAAAGGGGTATGCAACATACACACACCGACACAGATAAAGAAGACATCGAGTCATTACCATCCCACTCCCCCTTCCCCTTCTCTCTCCATCCCCCGGCCTCGTTTAATCCACCCGCGTCAGCGGCACCAGAGCAACGGGCTTCTGTTCCTCCTCCCCGTCCCGCTGAACCCGCTTATACAGCCAAGCCGCAAACCGCACGGTAGGCTCGTCCACCATGCGGGTGACAAAGTCAGCAACCCACAGCGTGAGCGGCAGGAGGATGATGTTGGGCAGCAGGAAGGCGAGCTCAAGGCCCATGGGCCCGTTCATGGGCAGGGGGAAGAGGTTGGCCCAGTGGGCGATGGGGTCGGCCTTGCCAAAGGACGCGCGGGGCCAGCCGGCGGCGTAGTAGAGGCGGTCGCCGAGGGTGCCGATGATGGGCCCGTGGACGAGGTAGAGCGCGTACGAGATGCGGCCGAGGAACTGGCAGAAGCGCGTCTCGAAGAAGCGCCGCAGCCAGGGAATGCGCGGGATGCACGCCACGATCATGTTGCCCGCGAAGAAGAGGTAGAACCACTTGTAGTCGAAGACGGCCTGCGGGTTGAGGAACGACAGGTAGTACCACCCCCGGCTCCCCCGCAGGTCCGTGATCTCCCGCGTCCGCGACGGCACGCCGGCGAGGAACATGCCGATGATGAAGAGGTGGTAGTAGATGAAGGTCTTGTATGGCTCCAGTCGGCGGAGCCACCGAGGGAAGTAGCCGTCCTTCTTTGCGAGCAGGTCCAGGTCGCACTGCAGCATGCCGGCCATGAACAGCGCGCAGTAGTAGCCGTCGACGATGTAGAGGAAGTAGTAGGCAAGGCCGAGGAGGCAGAGCAGCCGAGCCTTGTGCGTCGCCCGCGCCAGCGCCATGCAGGCCATGTAAACCACCACCGACCCCCGCATCTCCAGCGCAATGGACCAGAGGTGGGAGTTGGAGTGCATCCACGGCCATCCCTCCTTGAAGAGGAAGCTGAAGTTCTTGAACTCGACGTACCAGTTCCAGATCTCTTCCCCGACCGTGCCCTTGGCCTCGGTCTGCGCGGTCCAGAGACCGAACAGGTGCCAAGACATGATGTAGGCGAACGTGGTCACGATGATGGGGATATAGAGCCGGAACCATCGGCGGAAGAGGGCGGACGCAAGATTGTCGAAGAGCTTGAGATGCTCACCAGAGTGGATGAGGGATAGTGGTTTCACCGATAAGACGTAACCCGATATGACGAAGAAGACGCTCACGGCCATGTGGCCACCCGAGAAGAAATTCCGAACGATGTAAAAACACGCAAAGAAGAACTTATCACCCTCCCCGAACCCGCTTTCGAGCGTGGCAGCGCCTTTCACCCCGTGTGCCCATAGTTGATGGTGGTGGATGTACACTATGAATGCCGCGAACCCTCTAAGACCGTCGAGGTAGGCTGTTGGTCGTAGTTGTTGGGGGCCATCCGAGGGATTGGCGCCCCTAGGCCAAAAAAGTTGCCGCAGCCCACGAAATGTGATGGATTTCATGACGAACGAGGGAGGTCGGCAGATGGCCTGGCGCCATCCAATATTATCCGGATCCTCGGGTTTTGCTGGCGGTCTTCAAAATGTCTTCACACCTCCGGATACTTCACAGAGTTCGACTTTCAAGCGTCGGAACTTCGGGAGAGGAAGTATCTGAGCGGACCGTGCGAGTGTGGGCAGCAGCGGCCGTTGGTGGGGTGTCAGGTCCGTTTTCTTGTTGAGAAAAGGGCAACGATTGGCGCCAGCCTTGCAAAACAAAAATCGGGGGAACGAATGAATTTGCAACCACGCCGATGGACTGATCCTCTCAAGCATGTTGGAACAGGCCGAACCGCGCGTCCCCGGGATTTACAAGGAAGTGCAACGGATGAAGCAGGCGGTGCGGTTGCGCCTCCAGGGAGTAGCCCCGCCACGAGTCGAGAGAGACACGAACGCGTGTCAGTCTTGCCTCTTGTCCAAGCCCTGGGCCCTTGGCCGCAACCGCATTCCCGCGAATGATTCCTTTTCCAGCAGGATGGATGGGAATATGACGGAATGTCTCGCTGTTCCATGTCCCGAGCGAGGTTGGGCGTGGGAGACTGCCCGTTTTCGAAACAAGGGGAAAGAGGGAGGGAGGAGTACGAAGTACGAAGTAACGTTAGTTATTTTACAGCAAGGCCGTGTGCGGAGGAGGTCCCTCCATGTTCACAGTGCGGCGAGACGTAGGGTGATCACCTCAGACGCAGGGCCTGTTTCTCTGACAATCCGATCGCGATGCTGCTCTGGTCAAGGCGCTGTGGAGCAAGCCCCTTTTCGGGGCACTGGCCGGCGGGGAGGGCGCCCCTATTTCGCTTGGAATCCGGATTCCGGCCCTCTCACTGGCTCATTTGCCTCTTTCCCCAACCAGGAGCCGGCTTGTACGATTGGCCGGGAACGGCAGCTGCGAAATTTCCACCTGGTTGAGCTGGTCTCGCATCAGCGTTGCCACATGAAGGAACGCACCGCGACCGACCAGAACCAGCACGCCCCTGTTGAGGAAGTTTTTTCCGGCGGGCTGATTGGGTGGGCGGCTGGGATCCTGGTCAGAGGAGCCGCACTCAGTGATTTGCCTGCCTCGATGGTGAATTTCCCGGTGAAAAACGCTGCGGGCAGGCCAATCCGGGAGACAAGATAAGGGCCGCTGGCCTGGTTGATTAGGGGCCCAGCGCCGGGGACAGGTTCATCAGCGATGCGCTCTCCTCACCCCCTTTCTGTCCTGGCACTACCGACATAATATTTTTTTTTTCTTCTGCCTTTCGTTTCTTGCTCATTATCTGTAGCATATTGCTTTCATCAATTGATGCCACTCGCTTTCCCCCTCCCGCCAGCACATCAGTCCTACGAGGTTGACGATTTTTTTCCTCGTTGCCCGGCATGATTGCCAAGCTCGGTTCGCCGTTGGGTGCTCCGTCCCTGGTGGCCACGGCGGCCCAGTTTAGGAACCGACTGCCCACCCAGTTCCGACGGGCCCTCCCCATCTACATCGCCGCCGTTTGCCTGATCCTCTTCATCTTCAATCTCAACCTCTTCCAAACGAGCGGACGGGTACCCCTCAGCCGGGCGCCCGTGTTGGGGTCGAGCGCAGACAAGGTCAGGCCCGATTTTCCGAGAAAGATCTGGCAGACGTGGAAGGTGAACCCGCTCAAGTTCGAGGAGCGCGACCTCAACACGGCGCGGTCATGGGTTGGAAAGAACCCCGACTACCGATACGAGGTCCTGACCGACGACAATGACCTGCGCTACGTCGAATACCACTTCGGCCCGGATGGCTTCAACCGGCCTGATATCGTCAACTTTTACCGCGACGTGAAGGCTGCCATCGTCAAGGCCGACCTCCTGCGATACATGATTATGTACGCTGAGGGCGGGTTGTATGCCGACATCGATGTCGAAGCGCTCAAGCCGCTGTCCAAGTTCATCCCGGAAAGATATGCGGAGAAGGACATTGATATGGTCATCGGCGTCGAGATCGACGAGCCCGACTGGAAAGACCACCCGATCCTTGGTCCCAAGTCGCGTTCGTTCTGCCAGTGGACCTTCATGTGCAAGCCGCAACTGCCTGTGATGATGAGGCTGATTGAGAAGATCATGTCATGGCTCAACGGCGTGGCAAAGGAGCAAGGCGTCTCGCTCGCCGAGGTCGATCTTGATTTTGACCAGATCATCAGCGGCACCGGGCCATCGGCTTTCACCGAGGCCATCATGATCGAGATGGATCTGCACAAGGAGGACCCCCGGACGAAGATCGACTGGAATCTGTTCCACGATCTCGATGAGTCCAAGGTCGTAAGTCGGGTGCTGGTCCTCACGGTCGAGGCCTTTGCAGCTGGCCAGGGTCACTCGCACTCTGGAAACCACGAAGCCAGGGCGGCTCTCGTTAGGCACCACTACCACGCGTCCAACTGGCCCAGCAGGCACCCCCGCTACAGCCACCCGGCGTATGGTGAGGTAGAGAGGTGCAACTGGGCCCCCGACTGCGTAAGGCAGTGGGACAAGGACGTGGAGGCCTACTCCAAGCTCTCGGAAGAGGAGCAGAAGAAGATCGTTGAGCAGAAGCAGAAAGAAAAGGGAAGAGGCCGAACAGAAGAAGAAGGAAGAGGAAGAAAAGAAGAAGAAGCAGAAAGAAGCCTCGGAAAGGAAGAAGAAGGAGGCGGAAGAGGCGTCACGGAAAAAGAAGGAGGAAGAGGAGGCGGCGTCGCGCCAGAAGAAGGAAAACGAGGAGGCTGAGGCTGAGAAGGAGAAGGAGAAGCAAGGAGCTGACAAGGGTCAGGAGGGAGCTGAGGCGCCACAGCAGGAGAAGAAGTCTGGGTGGTTCTCGTGATGTGCATTTTTGTTGTTTTTAGCATCTTTGGGAGCCGGAGGGTGTTTTGCGTTGGGGGTTCCTGGGGGTTCTGTTAATGAGACACGTTCATGCCGGGCAGCGGGCCCGGAGACACGCCAGGAAGCCGGGCAGGGCTACGACGAATCGCACCCGGCACGACACCGTTCCCTCGATATGGGAGAGGTCAACGGTGGTCGGCGAGGGGCTGCGAACGAAGGGTTGGTGTCGGGGTGGGATGCATTACTTATCTCTTCCATGTACATATGCTTGCTTAGACCAGGCCCGGGCACTTGCTTCGTTCGGTCGGCGTTGCTAGATCGAGTTTGCGGGGGCAGGCGTTGAATCGCCTCTGTTCCTAGGCTCGAATAGGCATTAGATAACACTAGTTAATACAAATACCCAATAAGACAAAATCTGGTTTGAGCGTGGGCGTGAGCTGGTGGAAGGTTTGGTATGGTGGAGATGAGATGACAATGAGGCCTCGCCGAAGTGGTTGGTTCGGGTGATGGTCGGTTGAGTTGTGGGAGCAATCCACTCCGGCGCTATGGATGGACAAAGCAACCTCGAGAGACGAGTCAAACGAAAAGAAAAACAATGACTCGGTCCAGAATGATGAACCTCGGCGGAGCAGCGACCGGAGAGAGGCGTCGAAAAGGTTCTCGAAGCATGCCGTCGAAGATGAAGACGAGGGCAAAACCAGCGATGCTGAGGTAGGTAGGTACAGAAGCGAGCACAGGGCCACCTCACAATGCACAATGAGTCCGAGTCCAGCACAACAACCCCTCCCGAATTACGATGACTCGGCACCGAGGAGACGGGTAGTCGCTTCCTGTTTGTGCAGCAATTTATGTCACAAAATTTGTAGGCCGTACCTGCCATTTATGTCTGGCGGACTCCGGTCGACCCCGCTTCACTGCACTTTTTGGCCCCCAGGCCAGTGTGTTGCAACGCAGGGCAAGGCAGAATTTATGTCGTGCGGGAACAAATTTAAAAATCTCTTTGCTTTCACGCTCGCCACATACGGCCTGTTTGTTGACTCTTGCAATGTCAAGAACCGTGACGGAGCTGTTCGGCACTTCCATGCAAACGATCCATGTTCACGTTCACTCAATCCCGGCCCCAAGGGCCCAAATGCCATATGCCCATGGATGAAGGCCAAAGGACGCCCCAAGCCGAAACACAAATCCGCCGTTAGATACGTTGCGCCCTTGGTGTCTCCCCACTTCAGTAGGAGCCGTGCACAAAGTGTGCCGGTGGCATGAGCATAACACAAGCCTGCCCCTTGGGCAATCCCATGTGGTTTGAGATCGGTCAGTGTTGGGGACTCGGTTGGGTATATCACGACTGACACAGAATTGAGTCAGCCAAGACAGCCTGGCCTCTTATCCCGGCGCGGTGTTCCATCAGGAGCACTTGGCATCATGGCAAACGGATGGAGTGCCATGCAGTTCGTGGGGGTCACTCGGGAAGGATGCAATACACTAAATTAACTACGAAGTAATTACCCAAACACCAAATGCGGATGCTCCCGTTCAACCTTGGTTGCCGCATTCAGCCCTGCCGAATCTCTGCCGCACCCATCTGTGTGATCGCCAACTTGAAGGGCTCAGCATCGCTTCACGCATTGTGCCGGCTTCTCCTGACGATGCCGCTTCTCGGCGCCTCTTCTAAGTTCTCCAGGATGGGCCGTTTTGCCAGTCATGATAAATTCTGGCGCCAACCCAGCTTTCATCTTCTGAGGTTGTTACCAACCATCGCCATTCTCTCCAGCTTGTCTTCACTGTCTTTTCCTCCGACCGACCGGTTCGATCGCTATCTTTCTTATAACGGCTTGCCGTTAACATAGTATTTAATACACCACGACCGCTTAGACGGCCTTTGTTTCTTCAGTAACCATCATCATGCAAACCAAACTTATTGCTTTCGTTGCCTTTGCGGCTGTCGGACAAGCCCGTTTTGGCCAGGAGGGCTCCGTTCAGAATATCATCCAGAGCCTCAGCAACTTTGGCCCGCCGGGCGCGGCCGGTACCCTCGCTGGTCAGACACCGGGCGTCCTACTTGCCGGTGCCAGCGCTTGCGCCCAGGTAAGTGACTGGATCAAGGTTCAAGCCAGTCATTATATCTAATGGAGTCTCTCTAGCTTGAGCTTGCAGATGAGATTGTTGCCACGCTTGGTAACGACCCCGAAGTCATCGCTGGCGCTGCGGCCCTTGTCGCCGCCGAGAAGAACTTCAACCCCTTCGCCCAGGACGTCCCGGCGATCTGCAGCAACCCGAACCTCCCAGCTACCCCGGAACTACGGGGTATTGTCCCTGCCGTCGACCCCGCCGTGGACGGGGCGGATATTCAGAACGCGAATTCCGCGCAGTCGCTGGCAACCCCTTTCGACGACGGTGGTCTCAGCGTTGCCGATCTCTCAAGGGCGCAGGGATTCGAGAACTTTAACGCCCAGGCTTGAAGGACTTACACAGAGGTGTACCGTGTAAGGGTTGCTTCATACTGGTGGAAGGACGGATGGTCATGGTTCCCCTCACTCGACGCTATGTTACATCGTCCGAAACTCTACATAATAGTTACCGTGATTGTGGGTATTGAATTGAACTATATACAGTGGAACAAAATAAAAGCATGGAACTGTCGCCATCTATATCAAGTTACTCCATCACTCTTCAAAGACCCACAACGCTTATACCCAACTCTAGTTCACTGTCTGTGGTCCCTGCAATGCCGCAAACTCTTTGCTGAATGGCTGGTCGATGTACCCTACCGGCGACTTGGGGAGATAAAACGTGCTGCGGTCGTACGGGTTCAGGGCGATGCCCTCCTTGATCCTGAATGGCAGGTCCGGCGTGGAGATGAAGTACCGCCCAAACGTGGCGACAACGATCTTGTTTTTGAACTGGCCGTCCACCAACTCCCTCGCATTCTGCGGCGTAATCGAGCCGGCAATCAGCAGCGGCCCGTCCCACAGCTCGGCCGCGAAGTCCAGGCTCTCCCCGTCTACCGTGACCGACTCGGCGTCGCTGGTCTCCACCCGCCTCTGCACCAGATGCAGATACGCCAGCCCAAACCGGTTAATCTTCCGGATGATATCCGAGAACTGCGGAATCGGGTCCTTCATCCGCATCCCCTGGAACCGCGTCCACGGGCTCAACCGGATCGCCGTCCTCTCCGCCCCAACCGCATCCACCACCGCCTGCACCACCTCCAGCGCAAACCGCGACCGGTTCTCCACACTCCCACCATACTCATCCGTGCGCTGATTGCACGTGTCCTGGAGGAACTGATCAATAAGGTACCCATTGGCACCATGAATCTCCACGCCATCAAACCCCGCCTCAATGGCGCACCTCGCCGCGTGCGCATACTCTCCCACCCGCACCTTAATCTCCTCCACCGTCATCGCCACCGGCACGGGCGCATCCTCCGGCTCCGGCATGGGCACCGCGCTCGAACTATGCACCCTGAACCCCTCCTTCTCGGCGACCGCGGCATCAGCCGCCCGTCCTAGCGACCACAACTGGCAGAAGATATACCCGCCCTTGGCGTGGACCGCATCAGTCACCTTCCGCCAGGCGGCCACCTGCGCGGCGTTGTGGATGCCCGGCGCGTTGGGCGAAGCCGCCGGCGGCCGGCGAGACAAAGGTCGCTTCCGTCACGAGCAGCGTGCCGGGCTGGGAGGCGGCGCGGCTGGGAGTAGTACGTCGCGACGAGGGGGGAGTGGGACGTGCTCCTCTGAAGGCGCGGTAGCCGGTTAGGGGGGGCCATGGCCCATGCGGTGCGTGAGGCGAATTTTCGGCGTTAAATTGGAGGGGGCTGGAAGAGCCCGGGAGGCCGCCTTCGGGGAAGGAAAC